TTCAGGACACCGTAGGGACCTGAAGATGCGAAAGGGTAATTCGATACATCAGTTCCTGCAGAAGGCGGTCGAGACACTGCGCAAGGATTTCAATGAGCTGAAGACGGCTTCAACTGACAGTCTAATGTTCGTCAAGGAAGACCTGATCATTCCTCACTTTTACACGTTCTACGACTTCATTGTCACTAAAGCGATGGGCAAAACCGGTCCACTGTTCGAATTCGACGCCGCTGGCGAATTAAGGATACGTCAAGATGCGGCCATAGATAGTTCTGAGTCACATCCGGCGAAAGTTGTGTTGAGGCACTGGTACGAGCGAAATAAGCATATCTATCCGGCTAGTCGCTGGGAGCCATTCGACCCAAACAAAAAGTATGACCGGACAGTCGATGACCTGAGAGGCATTTAGTGTTTAAACTCACTTGTAAAATGTCATATTCGCAATGTTGCATATTACGTGTTCATTTGAAAATGTTAAATAAAACGTTAATCGCTTAATCCTTAACTGCCTTACTGATGGTGTCGTGGGTTGCTCCTTAATGAAACGCGTTGTTTCAAATCTTAGCATTGTACTTGTGATTCGTACCATAGATCAAGAAGCAGTAGTTCACAAACTTAATCGTTTTGTCCCTTTGCGTATTGTTTAGCGAACTGCTCCGATTTAAGGAAGTTTCCTTGAGCTATTTTTCACCGCAGTGAATCCTACCGCAAAGGCATGAGACCTATATTGGTAGAAGCTTAAAAAGCTGATGAATCCTTATATCATATCTCCTTATCTGCTTTGCAGAAAATCTTGAACAGCCTTAATCACATCGCCATTAATATATTACGCTTGGGTCCGTTTCTCAAGAATGGCTGTTGACTTTGCAAACGCTAATTACATAGCGACTTTTTGTGCTATATCGGTACCGAAGCAAGGGAAAAAAATAGTCGTGACTAACAGCTAACTGACCACTGTTGCAATAAATTGCCTAACGTCTGTTGCTAACCAGACCATTTAATGATCTCCTTATACGTCTAGAGCTATCTACCTGGAAATCGCTTAAAAATCCATTAGTCTGTCAGCTTCGATGGTCGCTTATTCTTTCGTTTTGCGGAAACATATGTATCAGACACCGTCTCCAGCTTTTGAGCTTCACCAGAAGATAGCTCGAGTCTTGAACAATTTCGTCAAGGCACTACAAGTGATTCTTGGCCGTCGGCGCAGTCTTCGGCTGGTCAGTTGAGCAAGTACTACTTCGCCTTCCTTTCGGAAATCTTTCGCCTAACGTGCTCAAAACATCGCACTTAACACATTAGCACTCACATACGGTGTGGTGCGTCAAACTGAAAGCAGCTAGTAACGAGGAGTAGATATAAGGTCGCGCTACTGTGTGGTAATTCGAATGGTTATTTAGGCTGGCAACTTAAGCATTAGCAACGCAAGATTAAATAAGAATTTCTTCAACATGAGCAAGGATTTTATCTTCAACATAAAGGATTTTATTCCTTAATCGCATTTCTTGACATAGGCGTTAATCTGAACATAAGTAAAAACAATATTTGTCAAATACTTTATCGGCCTTCCGGTTACTCAGACAGCTGAGAGACAACTAAAAACGTCTCATCGGCATACCCGAAATAGTGTCAGAGAAAAACAAGAATATAATCATTAGTGAATATACTGAACAACAACGTCAAAAATACAGCAGAAGCTAGCACAACAGCAACATACATTTCGGACTCCGAGGGTTTCTTCTCGCACCTTACAAATGGCACCGCGTCAAAATAGTCCAAATCAAAATAGGACCGTCAAAATAGTTTTCTTGACGTGGGCTACCTTGGTATCCAGAAAGTTTACCGACCGCAATTCATCGACGAAAATTTGAAAGATTATGTTAATGAACAGAATAATTAGCATAATATAATTTGGGTAGCAGGCTACTTTCAGTTGGGTTATGTTCATGGGTCACCCTTACAAATAAGTGCGTAGCGTCATATCTTTCCATGGAAAACGCAACAATCAACAAATAATTTGTGCTAGAGAACTGTTAACTTAAGAACCAACGGATGATCTGCTTAGCTGATTTTTTCCATACTTTGATTAACTCAGAATGAAAAACTTTCACTTTTTTTACGTGATGACACCGCATATCGAGTTTATCATATACATATTCTCGAATGTTTCGGACATGCTCGATCCGTCTTCAGATATTTAGAGAAATAATTTAAAGCAAAATAGCAGTCAGGTAAAAATTTCAGTATGGAGGTTTCAACCTCAACGTTGGAAGCTGCTTCACAATTTCGTCATGATGCAAAATTAGTTCCAAACCAACGTCTTTATTCATGCATCGATTCGATTCAATTACCAAGGCTTCCTCTATTTTCCAGCTTAAAAATGCTTTTAAGCGTATCAAGCGTTTGTCCCAAAATGCGGTATGCCGTTCTTGAATTTTATGTACCACAAACGCCGAGATTTTTTGCATTGCTTCTTCATCACTTGCTAATATTTTTCCGCACGTCGTTTTCCCGTTAGCACTTGATCATTCCGATGCAGATATGGGTTGCACCATCTTGTAAGTTTACTATGTATTCTTTTCTTGCTTTTTTCTTTGGTGCTGCCGATTTCTCCTATGCAACCAAGGCAGCACTCAACAATTGGATGTAGACCCAGCTGTGTTGCTTGAAATTCGGCTCGATGACTTTTCCATGCATCAGCTAGGTGCGTTCTCTCTTCTTCACTTTTAGCTGTTTCTTTGCTAATCTTCTTCTGCCTATTGTTATTTCTATTACCCAGAGTTCTCCGGGTGTAAGCCAGTTCCTTTTCGAATACCAATGCCGTCTGAGCTTAATTCGAAACATCTACTGGCTCGAGTGTCACCGATGTCCTACTTCATGCAAAATGCGTGGTTCTAATGAAACAGAAACACTTCGATGATGTACATGTTCCCCTTTCTCGTGCCTAGTGCGTCCAGCGAAGGTCAGGAGTGGCAGTATGGATTTTGAGAAACTCTGATATCGCAGAAAGCAATCGCATCGTGATTCGCTTCGTAAGCTGCATGGCGAAGCCAATCGAAATATTTTACCATGAGCTTCTGGTCCATATTATGACATTATAGGTCTCACATCTGTTTTAGGTGCCCTTCTTCTGCAGCCATATGGCGCAAAGCCAGTCACAGGAAATTGTACGCAGATAAAAACAACGGCTAATCAAGTATAGGAAAGCATCAAAGAACAGTGGTTTATAACGGTAAATGAGAGTACCATTATACAAATGCAAGAGCAAACATGGAAAGCCACAAAACAAACCGCAGTACAAAGCAGCTACAAGCAGATAGTTGTCAGGGCGGTTTCTTCTTCTGTACACCCGAAGCTGCTCTTCGGTAAATGTACACGCCGCAGGCGGTAACAACGGCAATGAAGTTTCCGACCGCTTGAATTCCTACCACTGGCGAAAGATAGGATTTGACGACGGAAAGCGAAAATTCGCAGGAATCGATATCTCCCTCGTAACACAACAATTTAAATCCGAAAGTTCCGAGGTAGATTACGTCAGGGGGGACAACTTCGGAAAAATGTACGCAAGCGGCAGAAACGATGCAGTCGAAGCAACGACTACGCTGAAGCTTGGTCACTCCATCGAAGCCGTACTGCTGGAACATCCTGAATAGACAGGCTGGACCCAGTGCGCTGGACAAGCACAGGACGGTTTCATTGTTGGTCGTCTGCAATAACCTCAGCCACGAAATTGGCGTATCGTAGCTTTTGTCGAACTGGCGCAGTATATCGTTTGTGGCATCGTTGACCAACCAGGCGATGACCCCTCCATCGGCCAGACCAACAACAGTCACACGAGCTCTGACATCAGGGAGGGTGGAATAGACGCTGTCAAAGGAAACCGCTACCGCGCTAAGCTGGCCACGGAGCTCCGGCAGTTCTTGGTCAACGCTGTGCTCGGCGACGAGTGACCGATTCTCAAACTCTTTCCGGTAACATCGGATAGTCCTATCACTGGCACTCAACAAAACCGATGTCTGGCGCTGAGTCGAAACATGCTTTATGACACACGGTGCAACGTCTAGCATCTTGTAGCCATGCATGTTCAGCTGCAACGAACGGTTGGTGTCCACAAAGGCAATGGTGAGGTCAAACATGTAATAGCCATCATGGTCCATGGCGGTCACCAGTAGGGTGCCGTCGATACCTGAGGCATACACCAGCGGCCAGCTAGTGATGACCAGCAGATCAGTCGTTTGTTCAATCGTTTCTCGAAGGTCAAAAACCTCAGATATCGATACGGGGTCGGTCTCGCGGTCATTGCAACGAACTGCGAACACCCTACCGTCAAACGCGATTATTAACAGCCACGAACATCCGTCGCTGCCCACCAACGAATGTACGTTGTACGTCGAGCCTTGAGGAACCGAGCTATAAAATACCTCGAAACTTCCCTCTGTGCCTGGAACGACTGCAGCAGCACCACTGCGCCAGTGTTCAGTATCGTCGCTCGCCTCCATTTAGCTCGGCGTGCAATGGCAACTGCTTACTCAGGTTAAGAAGGTCATACTCCACGAGTGGCAACGATTCAAAATCTACCTTCGGGTTCTGCATAGCAGACACGGATTGCACAACAGCGTCCAGGTCCACTTCACCGTTGACCACAGCTTGACCCGAGTTCAGCAACTGGCCAAACTGGCTTTGCCTATAGTTCTCCAGTGCAGACACGATATCCGCAGCGGTAGCAGACGACGAAGACTCGCAGCGTTTCAGTCGTTCAACCTTACGCTCCAACGTCTCGATGAACTCGCGATCGGGCGTAAATGACATGCCACAAACAGATATTAATCAGCGAATTTAGTTTTAACTAAACAGCATCATCTGTCATAACACACAATCTGCATTAACAAGAAAATGTTTATTTGGGTAATATCGTTCGAGCATCAACAGTACCCATAATCCTCAAGTTCGTAGGAGATTTAGTTCAACTTGCGTTGCAGCAGATTAAAGAGTTTGAGTTTTTAATGTGATGATCTTCATCGCTGTTTATTTTTGAATGGCTTTCTTCATGCATATTTTATAAAAAAAACCTCTGAAGTTGCCAATCAAGCTAAATCTATTTTCAGTCGATACAATATAACAAATTTTTGAAATGAATATCAGAAATGTCTTTTCCTGCTGTGGATTCTGTTAAATTAGGTGAGTGAAGGTAATCATAAAATTTCAGTTCTTACAGTTAATTGAAATAAGATAATAAAATACGCCATCAAATGCAATTTATTTTAATTTTACGCAAAGCACACTGTTTATAAGATAATGACATATAACTTTTAAATATTTTGTCTTCTGTCTTCTGCTAATATAATTGATCTCAGTTGCAATAATGAAGCGTAGAATAAATTTAGAAAATTATGATTGAAAACAAATACACAAAATCTAATTTTCGCAAGCATATCCTTACTGAATGCGCGGCAATTACAGTGCTGATCGACAGAACTCTCAACAACTGCCTTGAGAATCCATACTGCTTTTAAAAGGGCAACTATGCATATAAGCTGATTTTATCTTAAACCGATAGCTGCTTACTTAATTTTGTGAATAACGTCAAAAATGAGCACAATAACTAATAATTTTATTTCATATGTAACATCAGATAACTTTGTACGACTGCATTCGGGTAGCGGAGGCAGATGGGCCAGAGAGTGCTTCAAACGCTTCCTGTCCTATGCCAGCATTTAAGCTTCCTGAGAAAACAATTCGAGTTTATGGCGAAACTCTTTCTAAGCGCTTGCACCAGGCATATTTGGCCGTCCTCTGGGTTTTCTGAGCCATTACTAGCTGCTTCATCTTATTTTCTTTGATCATTCCTAACATGCGCCGAAACCTTTGCAGCTGAGACTTTTAAATCTGGCGAAACAGCTGCTGCAAATCAAGTCTCTCGTGGATTTCTGTACTCTAGACCATGACGAGATGAGTATGACCGATCTTTCCTCTCAGAAAGATTGTTTAAGCCGCTTATGAAATGGATAGAAATTATTCAGTCATGTTCTATGACCGTGAATGATCATGAGGATTAAGATCGGTTTGAAGTTCTCAGACTTTGTCTGCCTTAGTCACAACTGTTCGGGCCAATTCACCAAAAACTGTACAGTCCATTCCAATCCGCCGGTAGTACTCTTTCTCCCATTTTCCAACACCATTAAACGTGAAACCAAGGAACTTGAGCTACTCTACTTGCTCCACTGCTTATTTATTCATCTGAGGCGAAGATCGGGCAAAGGATAGGAAACTACAAGACTCTTTATTTTAGATACGTTCACACGCATACCTGCCATGTCGCATTCAGCTGCGAACGTTTTCAGTAAGCGATAAATATTTCTTTTAGAAGATATGAACAAGCAAGATAGTCTAAAAGCAGCAACTTTCTCGTGTGGTCATCTCCCATACCGATGCATTCATCGCCCGACGATTCCGTTCATGTACGACACATACAGAAAAAGGAACGCAATGCAACCTTGTCAACTCTGGAAGCGCGGAGCTCTTAACATAATACCTCCGATTCAGCACTTCCTATGAGCACATTTCATGGCCCGCAGTAATTAGGCATCGGTGCCACCATTTACTGAGGCATGCTTATGGATTAAGCGCGGGATCAGGTCAGATGAAAAACTTCTGCAGCCGTGCAGCACTTCAAAAGGGAAGGCGCTCCCGCCTGGCGATGACCATAGTATACCACTGTGATCAGTAAAAGAAACCGACTAAAGATAGGCGTAAGGAATACAAAACGGCGTAATTTGGCGGTAGTATCAACCATAACAAAGGATTTTGACCGCTTCGATGAGCTTGCAGTGCAAGATGAATTTCAGGTCACACCCCATGATAAATATTACACTGGATAGTCAGCTATCAGGTACATCAAGGCGAAATCAAACCCTGAGGCACTCGCGTAGAAAGCATGACTGTGGATTTCCTCCACGGTAGCATGAGCGATGATTCTGTTTTTATTATTCTCGGTTGTTTTTCCGTTGCGGCGATGGTTATACTCCTTGCTAAAGGGAATTCACAGTTAAGACAGTAATTATTCTTTCAGAAAAATTGAACCCCGTACCTCCTGAATTCAAGCTTAACCTCTTTGCCATTGCGCGAATATGCATAATTTACAGAAGAACTAAAACTTGTGCTTGTCTTGTGGCAACTTTACAGTTCCAAAACGAACATGATTAAAGGCGCACTACATTTTCAGAGCACAATTTGCATTTTAATTCCATCGTCAACTGCAATATGCTATTTTCGAAGACTATTGTTACAGCTGGATGTTGATTATTTGACATATTCGCCTGCTTGTATCCAAAAAGTTGGTTGGCGACCGGAATTCTACCCCAAAACTAATGAGTACTAGACCGACACTGTGCTGCGTTTCATTTCTTTCTTAACATGGTATCAAAACTAGCTTTTGGCAGTTAACGAAAAAGAAGCTGTCCTGAAGTGAAATCACAAAACATGATAAGGCGAAGATTGCATTTGAAAATGTTACTGGAAGATATACTGCAAAAGAACGTACAAAGCAGCGAAAACGCCATTTGCACGATAAGTCAAAACAGGTACGGCAACAATAGATAAATAATTTTTACACCAACATAATCTAATTTTTATCTTCGCGTAGGAATCCGCTCGAGCCTCAGTTTTTCTAGGTTTACTGCCCGTTTCCAAATATCGGTGGTTAGTTGAGATTCTCCTAGTGACAATGCTATAAGCCTAAAAGAGTATGCAGTTAATCATATAAAAGTCTAAAGAAAGAAAAATATTAAATATTTCTGAATCAAGCAAGTGCGAAAATTATCTCCTAATAAAAACTGAATAAAACAAGCAATCGAGAACTTTACCGAAAAAGTTGAGTGCTCTTTACTTGTAAGAAGCTTGTGAAAGCAAAGAAACAAATGAGTTGACAGAAAATTAGAAATAACATTTATATAAAAAGAGAATCTACATTCACGGTGGCCATGTAGAATGATATTAATAAATCGAATGACAAAAGCACACCTCTCGGATAAGCTCTTTTGGGGGATGCAGCAAATTAAATTAAAAAACACCACAACTGGATGCTTCCGTCCCATCTATTGACACTCCACACACTGATAGCCTCATGATCGCTTCGCAGCAAATTTGGGTACGTTTGAAACAACTACAGTGCGAAGACAGGGTATCTCGATCAGTAAAGTGAACTATTGGACTCCCAGTGGTATGATGGCAAGTTGCAATCATGGCAAGGATAAAAACCTGAAGTAAACACCCTTTCGTTCATCTGAAGTAAACTAATGAGTAGCGCTTATGTGGACAGCAAGCAGGACACCAAACGTTACAGCGATTAACCGGCGGTAGATACATTTAACAAAGTTATGGCATCCTTGTCTAAGGCTGATGGCATCTAAATGGAGCTCGGGGACGCATTGCAAGATAACATGCAAGATAAACGTAAATGGTATTCACAATTGACGTGAAAACGCTATAATACTGGTTACAGAAGTCTCGTTTAATTCCCGGTATAAACAATAAAACAGGCACAGAATCCCGATTAGATGTTATGGGACGCTGACAATTGGGAACTCCTCAAAAACTCTGAACCGTTCTTTTTGCACACAGCTAGCAACTGAGTGTCAGTTAGTTTCAATGACCACTTATACCTACAGGTAGCGGAAAAATATCATCAGATAGTGTCTTCATTCATGCTCCAGTGCAACATCTGAACTCAAGCAGAAAAAAAACTCGAATCTGAAGCATAGTCTGTTGAGACACTTTCCCAGGTCATTTTTGACGGGCTCTAGGGTCTAAAGCCGACCAGTTAAGCAGCAGGTGTTTCGCCTTTGTTTCTAGAAGCATTCACGAGAACGTGCCTAAACTATCGCAGGTCCGATTTTCAATCTGAAGAAACGGCTCAATGCCAAATCTATACCCTGCCGCAATGCTAGACAGCCGATCTCGAAAGAATCCAGACTACTGTTCCATAACCAGACTCCCGCGTTTCACATCGTTTCACATTGACACTATCCATTGTTGACTAACAAATAACCGCAGTAGCATGTCAGGCTGATTTTGTACCGCGACGCCACTTGTGCAGATGCTGCTTGATCCGGGCATGTACTCTTCGGATTCTGCAAGGATAGTCCATTGTTTGGGCGCCAAATGGAAGCCTGGCGGTTTTGCGTTAGGTTACAAATAATAAGTCTATACATCATTGAGACTACTGTAACGACAATTGTTCACGATGGTCAAAAGGTTAACATATATTTTCAGAGCACTGTGAAAAGACTGTCATCCTTTCTATACTACCATAGAATTGCCGTAACGTCAACAGGTTTGACTTTACAATTTTGGCAGTATAAATTTGGTTGTAAACTTGAAAGATGCCATTTCCCGCTTGCGGAACTGGAATGCTGCCATTATTGGTAACTACCCCATGGTATTGGGGTTATACAATATATGTTTTCTATATAATATATGTAATCTGTCGTTAGAACATAATCATTCAAAAATATTAATGTCTCCAGTTCACAGCATATGTCTAATAAGGAAGAAAAAGAGCAGTCTTAAGCTGCGGAATGTGAGTCTTCTTCACATTTTTATGATTGGATTATTTTTATCATTGACCATCATGCTTTTCAAGAAGCTTACAAAGTTTTTTCCAATCAGAAGTGTCTTTTCTTTCTAATGCTATGTTTACAGTTTGGTGATTATCATAGCATGCAGTGTCCTGTTTCCTTCCCACGAAGAGGTAATCATTAATGTAATTCAGAAGGAAAAAAGGCTAGTGACACAATCAATATCTGAACAATTCTTAGACCAATATTCAAGCGACAGTGCAGTGCAAGTCGCTTCCAATAATCTGCACAATTGCTGCCTTTGTAAAAGTTTTGAATATTAGTTTACAACAATGTGGAATTAAGTGAAGAGCAGGAGAAGGAGAAGCATAAGAAAACGACATAAGTGAAGCAAGGCCTTCAAAAATAGTTAAACTCAATTATCGAACAGCCTTGAACAGCTGCTGCAAAATTCTTCGCTTACCGAGCAAGGACCAACGTTCGATTTAAATTGTCTGCAGTAATCGATGGATTAGTCTGCCTCATCTCGACAAAATTCTCTTGAATTTCCTGAAAAACGGACAAAGTCGTTCACACGCACGAAGAGAAAATTTTCTCGACTCGTTTACCTTCAACATTTCCTGAGGGATGTCATAGCGACCAAGTTTAAGAAGAGAAACGTACGCGCGGAAAGCCTGCAGTGATTTCTCGTCGCGAGCAAACGCTAAACGTCTTTCGGATGTAACGCCTTTCACGAGAACTTGAAAATCGCTCTGCAGAGAGTTTAGCAGGGCACTTTTGAAGAAATTAAAAGTATCAAATGAACAACACCCACCGGCAACATGGATTTCCCTTCGGAAACGATGATCACGTTCACGTCAGTAGGGATTTCTACTGTTTGGTAAACGAAATCATAATCCAACTTCTGATCAGCGATAACGGATTTGAGGGCTGCTAAGTTTTTTAGTCCTAAAAATACCGTACAGTCACCAGCCGGTGGCATTGCGAGGCGATTATTCAAAGAAAGCTACAAAAAATTCAGTAATATACTTGAAGTGATGCTTTGGCAAGTCACAAATGGGAAGACAACGTATAGAATGTCCTTTTATTATGGACATCTGACGTTTCGGACCAAGCTCGGTCCGTCTTCAGAGTACAATGGCCTAGACATTTTATGCGATGTCTTCCTGTTTCTGACTTCCCAAAGCATCATATCATCTCCCGCCTAAAGAAATCATGTATCTTATTCAATATACCTGAAGTACATAAAACTGTATTTACTAAATCACTTGAGTAGATAAACAAAAATGCCGTTTTAACGATCAAAAAGTAAGGAGTGTTCTCTTACAATGAAAAATTTAAAATTGGTGCTTCTCCAGATGCCCTGGAGTCATGTGATCAGATCAAATTTTACAGGCTACCGAGTTTAAACTAACTAGCAGAACAGCGGAGTCATCATATCACTAAGGCATTAACGATTAAATCCTGTGATGTGGCCGTCTGAGACTTAATGAACTTTATCATTTCATCCATCAGCGCTTGTGATCACATCACGACGGCAATTCGATGCTTCGCTGATTTTGTCCGTATGAGCTCTTTACCTCCATCGCTGGACAAGTAACATGACCATCGGGCCGTTCCAGCTAGTTCTGGAACGATCAAGGGAAATTTGCGGTTCAGTCGAACAACTAATGGTCAAAAAGTGAAAATTTTATCATTACTAAAAGCATAAGGGCCCGAAAGCGTATCTATGATCCACAAAAACTGTTGTTGTCCATCAGAAGACCCGATTGCGGTCAGAAAAAGCCTCTGAGATAGAATGAAAACATGGTCATCTCCTTCGTACTCATATACCGGTTCCTACATCACGGGTATAAGACAGGCTCATGACAACGCAGTGATGGAAGATACAATAGTATATTGGACGTGCAGAAAAACAATGTTGAGCTGTTTACATAATCCTATAGGTGGACAGAAGAGAGGACAGCGAGATATAACGTCGTTTAATGTGTCTAGGATAAAGCCTGGATGGTCGTTTTTATAAGTGTGATAAATTATATTTACGAATATTAACAGAGAAACCACCATGGTAACAAACTGCTTATTACATCGTTGCCTAACCTCACCGTACATTCTGATACTTAGTAAAGCAAGGAGGTTGAAAGCAAGTGTAAACCGAAACCACGGATCAACGATATTAGTAACATGTAAAAAAATTGCTGTACGCACTACGCCACGGAATCAAAAGAATCACACAAGAAAAATTGGATGGAGTAAACGACATACGAGGAACGGATCAGGTGAAAATCGAGAAAAAAACCGCATGAATCAGTTAGCCAGTTTCGATAGCGGTTTATCTTATCAAATTGCATAAAAAATAGCGTCCGACATGGTCTGCAACGTTGCCATTCCTACGAGAGTGTCTGAACTTTAGCAAAAAACTAATCCGAGTCTAGAGCAGCCTGCGCAGACACTAGCATTTGCTTGTAGTATCTTGACCCTTGACCTCTGCCGGGGTCTTCGTTCAGTCGGTTGAACAAGTAGCAGCTGTTCCATTTTCCTTTCAGGAAGCATTTTCAGAATTGAATAAATATAAGAATTACCACAGAAAATGACAATGGATTAAAGTTATCTTGTACTGTCGTTTTTCAGCATTCCACAAGTCTAATGACGATATACATAGACAGTATGTGACTTCTCTTTGGTAACAGAAAAATGGTAATGGTAACTCCGTAACAATATTGATATACCAATCATAAAGACAAAAAAAACAAAAGATTACTGAAAAAAATAATACCCTAACGGTTAGAGAGAAAAAACGTTAGGCTAGGATCGCACTATCGCTCAAAACCTCAGGTGAATTCAGAACTCCTGGATGAAGACGACCTACTGCTAAAAATAACCTGAACAAAAAAGTAATTTCTTGTAATATATCTGAAGCCTACAGCAGCAAAATCAAATATTCTCAATTCTTATCAATTTCACTCTTTACTATGAGCAGTATCGAACAGGAATAGTAAGCAGAAGTTCTGATCATGTAAATGTAGCGTCTAACCACGAAAAATTACCAAACTGTTTCAAAAATAAAAAAGACACAGACTCTGTAAATACCGTTAAGAACGAACAATCAGAAAAACGTAAAAACAATGATCAGCAAAATTATAGGAAATTTTGTATCAGGGGGAAAAATTTAATGAAGAAGCATAGTGCAGAAACAGAACAGGCATTATTGACGTTTATCATAGGCAAAAGATTCTAAACTCAACAAGCTATACAAACCTTGACTATTCAGTTTCCCCGGCTTCATCTGAAGCTCGTCCAAAACCACCTCTGTTCCCGCAGAAAGCTGCAACTTGCCGTATAATAGTTCATCTGTTTTATATTCTTTCAAAGGTACAAATCTGCCGTTGTTCAGTCCCTCTAAACTGAGCGGTATGTAAATTGCCTAAATTAAGGTAATTAGTCGCTACTCAATAAAATATGATATAAAAACGAAATATTTAGAAATCGCGTTAAATGAAGAAATAACGAATTTGTTAACGTCTCAATTTCAATAATTAAAATTGAAATCGTCTCATTTACAACATTAATTGTGTCATACACATGTGGTAACAGAATAGTTTTAAACTTATGACCACAGGCAGATAAGTCGTTGATTTTCAGCACAAACCATGTGATGTGATGAAACACTCGATGTCCTTGAAGTAAGGCTATTTTCCTAGGTAAGTCGTTGCACTGACAGCTGAAGCGTTATGGTCAGGCTGAGTAGAAAGGTTGAATGGTTCACGTTTCGGTCAGAAAATGCACTTTCCATGCTTCTGAGAAAGACTCGAGAACGTAATCGAAGCGTAAGGAAGAAGAACGTTTCAACAGTTTAAAACTTCCTTTTCTATTCCTTACGTAATGTTGAAATGTTTCGAACAGAGGCAAAAAAGCCAATTCCTCATTCTGGATTTACATTTCTTATCCATTGTTGCACATACTGTTGGATTAAACAGTTCCTATCCAGAAAATGTGGGCAGCATATGGACAATATTGTTCTCCATCCACAGTGAACCAAAAAATCCTGTTTAAAACATTACATTAAAAAAAATTTCGTATGCTGGAGTATGCATAATGCCTTAAAGGCCAGATTTCGCAGTGAAATCTGGACTTGAATGAGCTTTGAATAAACATATTATGATGTTTATGCGGTAGCATATAATCAGTACCAACTTTTGAAACATCTTCGTGATTAGCGTGAGACGAACGAAGGAAAAAATAACGTAAAAATAAGCGCTGAAATGTCATGGACCTGTGAACTGCTTAAGACCCCCAAAACTAATGGTAGTTCACAAGGTGGTTTCTTAAAAGACAAGCACACATGTATTAAGGCAGGTCTAATGACTACATCCCAATCACAAATGCTTCAAAGCCCCCTTTGTGCGTAACTTTATTCCGAACGTTCACTTAACGAACAAGAAGGAATACACCATATGGAAAATGCGAGACTGGCTCATTTCCTTCAGTTTCCCAAAGGCGATTGCGTTGAGCAAGTTTCATAAACAGAACGTCTGTAGTTTGTGACGTCTACTGCATTTTCAGTTTTACAATAAATTTGCTCTAAAGCACCAGCTAGTGCATCACAAAAAGAACATGTCTGCTCTGAACACATCTGTACTACGTCCAAGATTAGTACAGGTAAAGCAATAAAGGTTGTAATAAAAGCAACTGTTTACTCTTTGTTTATGCAAGATCTTGTTTATGCTGTAAGTACAGTACCAGGAGTAATATGGCAGCGTTTAATCTAATACTAAGTGAAACATTATACAGTTGCACAGAAAAAACTATCATAAAAAAGTAATACATTTCTTATATCCATGACTTATACTATTCCAACATATAAGGTAAAAAATGAGTGATTTTTCTAGGGATTGGAAGCCAGCTCGAATTTGTCACTTGAAATTAATCAAAATTTCTTTTTCGACTTAGGAGCTTACAACCCGCGAACACTATTTATAGAACGAACAAAATTTGTAAACAGAGGGTGAGTTCACAGTAAAACTGAAATTTAACGATTTTTGACGAAATGCTGTTTCTTATGCCAAATTAAAATTCTGTTTAAACGTGGCATCGTTATATCGTGGCTGTATTGAGACCGTGGACGTTCAGCTTATCGAGCTTAGAACCCAGATCCCAGAGGTCCGAAATTCGAGCCCCAGTCAGGTCCTTCGTCTTTCTTCCGCTTGATGTCGACAAATAAGTACCACTAGAGAGCAGGAGAATACAAATTATGCTGCTACTGACTCTGACCTTAAAAAAACATTCTTGGATAATGGTATGAAAATGCAGATTATTGCCAGCCATTAAACTTCATGAAATAGGCCCCAGAAACGGCTCCATCATGAAATTGTAAGGAAGACTGGTAGTGCAACAATTACTAACTTTTCTTCGTGTTTCCTTCCCTATCGTACCTTGGTAGAGATAGATTCAATGAAATTGTACAGCAAAGTACCGAAGTCATCAGACACAGCATAGAGGTTGAGCGTGAACATGCCAACAGCCAAAATCGCATGCCTCGTTGTCCTAAAAGTTTTCAACGGTCTTAGAAACGAACAGAAGAATATTCGACTGGTAACATACACGGAGGACAAAAGGTGATACAGAATATATTCAGCCGCCAGATCATCGCCGAAAGTTAGGTCGCAAAGGTGCTCAAGCAGCTGATGTCTCGTCGCGCCAATGTCAATGGCCAATCGACGAACCTCTGAAGCATAATATATTCACATCGAACATAGACATAATACCCCCTGTTTTCCGTACCGCTACTTTCCAAAGTGTCCATATGCAAAAACTGAGGATGAAAATGCGTCAGTTTATGGTAACTCAGTACGTGGATCCGTGGTGGAAGCAGCTGTTTATCATTACTATTAATAGAGCATGTAAACAGACCACCAGGTACATGTAATATTTTACACTCACCTGCCATCGACTTCCATACCGCCGCTGTTGTCATCGATCTCTAGCTTCTCATTGTTGTAGATCCCAATTACCTCGATCACGTCGTTCAACTTAAGCTCATTTACGTTATCGTAAACCTAGAATAATCAACATCATCACATAACATACTACAACAAGTTACCCCTGCACTGGAAGATAAAACAAGCAGGAGATTTTGCACGGGATTAGATTTAAAAATGACCAAAATCGCTTACAGAGCGAAATTCCATAGAGATAAATCTCATCGTCCAACCATGGAGTACACTTTGATATTTTATTACCTACTCAGATGCCGCAGAAAATAAAAGCATCTCGACGTTTCTAGCTGCTTCTCCAAAAATCAGCGATGGATAAAGCGAGCATGAAAACCTTTAGGCGGAAGACGAACGCAAAGACAAGATCTGTTACGGAATTAAAGGAAAAGAAAAACGAAGTTAAGCTTGCAATCGTTGGCATATTGGCCTTCCTTACTCTCTTATGATGCAGCCATTTCTGATGCCCTTGATTTCACTAACTTAATGGTTCAGTGCTGCTCTCCAGCTTTTCATGTCATCAGCCAAGAATGTCTTATTTTAAAGGCAGAGTCAGCAACGGCTATGTGGCAAGCATAGCTTATTGTTGTAACAGAACGAAATGAAAAATATTTATTGCCATCATTAGTAATGCTCATTTCAGCGAACTTGAATGAAATATATACGTGAATACTCCTTACCTTAATCTGAAATTTTTCAACAAAGTCTTCAGACGCTGCTTCTGAATTTGCGACTATTTCATTGGAGGAGACCGAGCAAACCTTCTTCCGCATTTCATCCATGACGCATTCGACATCTTCTTGAATCTGATGCAGAGCGCGCTTTATTGGCATTGAACCTTCCATCTCATTAACGGAATAACCGACGTCCTTCAGGTAATTGTAAAATGTTACTTTCGTTAAGGAAATCAGTCTCGCAAGCTTTCAGCAGAAAAGCAAAAGAATTTTGCCACAAAACTTATGATTAGAAGGATTATTAAAAGCAATGAAATTTTTTAAAATTTTCGTTTACACTCATGGTGAATTTTAATAATCTATCAAATGAGTCAAGAGACTTGCAACCGGAAGATGCAAACATCTGAAAACATGGACGTATACCTTACACGCTTTGATATGACCAAACCAAAGCACAATGCTGCTCCTGTTATTTGCAGGTCAGTGACCTGTTACTGATTTTTCGACTGTCAACACCGAAGCACGGTGCCCAAATAAATTAAGACAAAAAATTTATGCCGCTGGTTCGATTTGAAATCTGACAGCATACTAACACATAATGTACTACTACACCCCCCATTATATTCAGCCATTAATAGAAGTTCACCTAAAACAGCCTCCTCTAAACAAAGTGCATCAGGAGACTATGAAGCTATCAAGTTGTCTTAAAGTGCAAAAAATCGTCGAACTCTGATGAAGATTTACGAGACATATTTAAGGATTGAGCTGATTATTCTTATATGCACATTGTTTTGCTGCAATATAACATTAATTATTCTATAATCTCAACGCTTCCCAAGGATGGATCATTCATCATTCCACCTCAAATTATCACCCAACGGTTAGGGATTTGAATATTTATTTTAAATTACATTATTCCGTTACTATATTACATATATTTATATTTCAATCTTACTCCATAAAATATAAACCGAGTGGTAAGAACATCACTTCAGCTCCGACTCTCTACTTATGCTTAGGCAGCTGTAGTATTCTACTTAAAATTACCGCCGTACTACATTACTGCACCGATTGTTAC